AGAGCGCAGTAGAGTAGAGTAGAGTAGAGTAGAGCAGAGCAGAGCAGAGTAGAGTAGAGTGTAGCAGAGCAGAGTAGAGTACAGTAGAGTAGAGTAGAGTAGAGCAGAGTAGAGTAGGCTAGAGTAGAGTAGAGTGCAGTAGAGTAGAGTAGAGCAGAGTAGAGCAGAGTAGAGTAAAGTAGAGTAGAGTAGAGCAGAGTACAGTAGAGTAGAGCAGAGCAGAGTAGAGTACAGTAGAGTAGAGTAGAGCAGAGTAGAGTAGAGCTGGTGGAAACGTGGCTTTGAACAGGGAAGTGCTCATGGATAAAGTTTTAGAGTTGAGTAGAGTAGAGTAGGCTAAAGTAGAGTAGGCTAGAGTAGAGTAGAGTAGAGTAGGGTAGAGTAGAGTAGAGTAGAGTGCAGTAGAGTAGAGTAGAGTAGAGTAGAGCAGAGTAGAGTGCAGTAGAGTAGAGTAGAGTAGAGCGCAGTAGAGTAGAGTAGAGTAGAGTAGAGCAGAGCAGAGCAGAGTAGAGTGTAGCAGAGCAGAGTAGAGTACAGTAGAGTAGAGTAGAGTAGAGCAGAGTAGAGTAGGCTAGAGTAGAGTAGAGTAGAGTGCAGTAGAGTAGAGTAGAGTAGAGTAGAGTAGAGCAGAGTAGAGTGCAGTAGAGTAGAGTAGAGTAGAGCGCAGTAGAGTAGAGTGCAGTAGAGTAGAGTAGAGTGCAGTAGAGTAGAGTAGAGTAGAGCAGAGTAGAGTAGAGTAGAGTAGAGAAGAGTAGAGTACAGTAGAGTAGAGTAGAGCAGAGTAGAGCAGAGTAGAGTAAAGTAGAGTAGAGTAGAGCAGAGTAGAGCAGAGTAGAGTAAAGTAGAGTAGAGTAGAGCAGAGTACAGTAGAGTAGAGCAGAGTAGAGTACAGTAGAGTAGAGTAGAGCTGGTGGAAACGTGGCTTTGAACCAACACGCAGTAAGTGATATTTATTGATAAAGCGCCTTTAGACCAGCCTCTCAGAGATAACACTGGTACAGAGCATGTGCAGCTCCACAGCGGATGTCATCAGTCACACCAGAGTCAAACAGCAGCGTGGGGGCCGGGCGCCATGTCCCCGGTGACCAATCAGAGGACGGGCCGCCAGGAAGAGCGCTGTAAATTGAGTGGTGCTCATTAAAGTGACATTAATGGTAATATTGAGCACAGAGGGGAATGAATCACAGACAGCAGAGCCTGACCTGAGCCTGGACCTGAGCCAAGACCCAGGACTGGACCTGAGCCTGGACCTGAGCCTGGACCTGAGCCTGGACCTGAGCCTGGACCTGAGCCAAGACCCAGGACTGGACCTGAGCCTGGACCTGCGCCAAGATCCAGGACTGGACCTGAGCCTGGACCTGAGCCAAGATCCAGGACTGGACCATGTCACGGACTGCTCTATTTACACAAGTCTCTCCATGGCCTCGCATCAAAGTACATCCATGTTAGTGCCATGTGAACCGGACTCTGAGGAGCACAGGGACTGGCCTCCTGCTGGGACTCTGAGGAGCACAGGGACTAGCCTCCTGCTGGTCCCAGAGTCAGACCTAAACATGAGGAGGCAGCGTTTCAGATTTATGCAGCTGATGTCTGATGCCGTTGTGTCATTGGGCAAGACACTTAACCCCACTTTGCCTTTAGCCCCCACTGTGCCATCACCGACAGAGCAGCCATCCTACTGTGGACTCACCACCTGCAGGAGGATCAGCGAGAGAAGGCTTCTACTCCAACAACGTTCAAATCCAGTTTAAAAGTTCTGTTTAGCAGCTTCAACTGAAAGGATTGTTTCTTCATTCTTTTTTTAATGTACTGTGATTATTTTTGATTTAAATATTTTTCTTGTTTTGTTAACCACTTTGAGTTGCCTTGCGTATGAACCGCGCCATACAAAAAAAAACTTGCCTTGCCGAAACAAAATCAAGTATATAATAAAATAGCTGTAACTGTAGCTGGTCATATCGCTCTTTATCTCCAGACAGGAAATGTTAGGACTCAACATGAAGACCCGCATGTTCTCTCTGAGGCTCGCCGTCTTTTATCTTGTTAGCTACAAATTGAACACAGTCTCTTCACATTCTCACAGTATGCAATTATTACCGTAGCGGGTGATTAAAGAGCGGTTGCTATGCCAACTCGGGTGATGTCGGGCCTAGTTAGCACACGTCTGGCGGCGTTATTTACGATCCGCGTTCTGCTTCACCTGCACACATCTCGGTGTGAAGTGCCGCGCCGACCTGCCCCTGTCTAATGAACCGGAGGCTGCTATAATGTAAGGTGTTTAATTATAATGTTTCTTTTACATGGTATACAATCTAGCCGCTTAATGTATGTGTTTGAAAGGATATAGCTGTTATACGAGGTGAAACTTCAAAAACTTTTAAAAGTGCACTGTTTTAGTCTGGTCTTACCACACCATCGTACTCATTTCATTTGGTACTAAGATCTGATTTGCTCCATTAATCTCCGTTAACAGGTGGGAAGAGTTAACTCCTTTTGCAGATTGAAATGATTGGAGTTTACTGTGACGTATGTATTGCGCCCGGGTGAGCTAGCATTTGACCTAGCTTTAGCATGTAGCCTAGCTTTAGCCATTTCCTTTGTCGCTAAAGGAGCAATTGGGAGTAGAGCAATGACATTTACTAAGCATTCCTCTTGCTCCGGCTTCAATTTCTTAAGATTTGGAGTCGCACCGGAACGGATTACTTTACAATCGCATTCTCTGCCAAACTAAAACCAGCCTGTTTTGCGCAAACTTGCTACAACACCCGCCTCCCCCGCTTTCTGATTGGGCGGAAGGGGTTTCAACCGAGGAAATTGCAGCCACTAGGATCAGACCCAGACGTAAATGTAGGAAGTGATGATAGACCGGGGTTTACGGATGGATAAGGCCGGGCTAGTACTGTTAGAATGCTGTGCTAAGTTCGTACAGAGACCCCTACTGGAGGTGTATAGGAAAGGCACTATTCTCTCATCTCTCCTGTAGTCTGTTCATTGCTATTCACTCACTGTCCCAAGAGTAACAGTTATTCTCCTGACTTTTCTCATTTTGGTGATTTGTAAAAAGTCAAAACAACAAAGATAATTTAAGACAGTTGCAGTTATAATGTATTACAAACACAATAACACACCACGCCCAGTTTTATCCAATCAGAAGTGAGAACACAGCACACACACACGTGCAGAGACACACACAGACAGACACACACACACACACAGGGACAGACACACACACGCACAGAGACAGATATACACACAGACAGAGAGACACACACACACACACACAGACAGACAGACACACGCACACACTCACAGACACACACACGCACACACACAGAGACACACACATGCTCAGATGATAGCAATGTGGCAGGCAGGTGAGAAAAGCGCACATTGTAGCTGCGTCAGATTAGCCGTAGCATCTTGTTAGCTCCTGTTAGCTAACTCCTACAACTGGTCCATCTCACGTTGTGTTACTGATTCAAAAACCCCCACCGCACACGGAAGGGTCAGTGGAGGATTGTGGGTAGTGGCGGTGATGGCATGGATGAGGGTCAGAGGGTGGCGAGATGGTGCAGCCAGGTGCTCTGTGAGTATTCAGGCCGACTCCAGGAACGCCGGGCAACCTTAGCGGTCAACCTGGCTAGCGTTAGCATTAGCATTAGCAGGTGAGCGCACCAACCATAGACTGTAAAGAGGAGTGGACAGAGCTAGCCCGAGAGCTAGCCCGTTAGCCCGTTAGACCACTGTGAGCTAAGTCGGACGTGATCGCAGGCCCAAGTCTGGCTCCAAAGTATTATTATTTTTGTAACTTTGCGTCCTGTCGGCTAAAGCTCAATATTGTGGGTTTAAAATTTTTACTTTTACTCTGACAAAGTAAAAAATACAGGTTAAAAACGGTTCTGTTTAGCTCTAGGATCTTCACTCTTCTTGATGTACTGTCATTTTCTATAATTCGAGCACTTTGAGTTTCCTTGTGTATAAACTGTGCTAAACATTATTATACCATAAATTATACCAGATTAGCTACATTTATTATGATGTCGTCTTGCTAATCTGCGTTTGTCGTCTATAGCGTGTGCCTAGTTGCAAAGCGGTGAGTGGGGAAGGGTTTGGTCATGGGTCGATGAGTAACAAACCAATGCAGCTGTAATCACCATGGAAACCGAAAGTAAATAATCCAGACGCCATTTTGTGTAAAGTTGTCGAATTTAGCAGAAGACACAAAAAACAAATATTTAATAGCATTGCATTTAGAACTGCGGCTGTGGATTGTTTTAGTTGTAAAATATTATACTGATAATTGTCTTTTTGATTATTCCACTTTTTTAGACCTTTAACTGCAAGTGAATTTTGTATTTTGGCAGTACAAAAAATCAATCCTATTCAAAACAACTCTCTAATAATATGTGAAACAATTTTCTCCCGTACGTTTTTTTTAACTTGATTTATGTATGTACTTGTCTGGGTCACACTGGGGACTTTTGCAAATGTATTCCAATGTGGTTTTACTGCAAATGGCAAAGAAAAACTGAATACGAATCTGAATCAGAGAGAAATAATATGACATTTGTTTACATGTATTGTTTTTAGGACCCCGCCTTTAAGCTAACAAAGCTTCCCGGGAGTATCGGTTTTGGCGACGCACCGACAAACTTTACTCGTATGAAGTTTTGTAAATAAAGATCATCAAATTGAATCTAAATTGTTTTTTTTTGTTTTTGTTTTTTTTGCAAAGTTGGTGGCAGTTGAAAGCTAGCCGTTTTGCTAATAACGACACGTCTACAGCCATGTCGATCATTGTCTACTTTCCCCATTCAAATACATATAAAGGTTGACCGGAAACATCGTTGATTAGCATCTGCTCCACAGCTAGCTAGCCCACGTTAGCTTCAGCCCGGGCCAGGTCACGCCGTTTTTAATTCCACTCCTGAATCCAGTCTATGGCACCGACACGTGGAGGGAGCTTGAGGGGGTGAATACACAGAGTTGGCGGTACTCACTGACAGCCTATAGCTCTGCATCATTTTATCAAATTCCTCATCAATCTTTTTGTATTTCTCCTCAGTGCGTGGGGTGAGGGAGAAGGGCTCCTCCGGCTCTGGGCTCTCAGAATCCCTGTGCTCTTTCTTGTTCAGAGCCTTTAGTTACCGACGGAGGAGAGAGAGAGAGAGAGGGATAGAAGAGAGACAGAAAGACAACATGTTAGCTAGCTTGCTCAGATGGAGAAGGTACTCACGCCGTAGCGCTTGAAGAGGCTGTCCAGGTCGTCCGTCTTGCGGTATTTCTCCTCGGCCAGCGGGCTCTGGTCGATGGAGTCGTCCCCGTCCGGTTCTGGACTGTTGCAGCCGTTAAAGCCTTTCTTTCGCAAAGTCTAGAGCGGTCGGGGGTGGAGAGGGAGGGGGAGGTAGATGCACGTGTTATTACAGAAGGTTACGACACACTGGAGACCTCACCTGCCGTGGGACTGTGCGATAACTCAAACTAAAGTCACAATGTGCAATATAGAAAAAAACATGTGTCCACTTGTCACTTTGCTGAGTCACTTTGTCCCGTAGCATCATGCTGCTAATGCTAACGTGTACGAGTGTAAACATACAACTGTTTATTTCTGACGCTAGAATATTCAGTATTTAGCTAATTATGCTTTTAGACGTGCTTCTGTTTTAGGCTAACGCTCGAGATTGTATACTCGCTTTTGTATTATGCTAAGCTAACGTTTTCTACTTGCTTCTTTATCATGCTAAGCTAACGTTTTATACTTGCTTCTGTATTATGCTAAGCTAACGTTTTCTACTTGCTTCTTTATCATGCTAAGCTAACGTTTTCTACTTGCTTCTTTATCATGCTAAGCTAACGTTTTATACTTGCTTCTTTATCATGCTAAGCTAACGTTTTATACTTGCTTCTTTATTATGCTAAGCTAACGTTTTCTACTTGCTTCTTTATCATGCTAAGCTAACGTTTTATACTTGCTTCTTTATCATGCTAAGCTAACGTTTTATACTTGCTTCTTTATCATGCTAAGCTAACGTTTTATACTTGCTTCTTTATTATGCTAAGCTAACGTTTTATACTTGCTTCTTTATCATGCTAAGCTAACGTTTTCTACTTGCTTCTTTATTATGCTAAGCTAACGTTTTATACTTGCTTCTTTATCATGCTAAGCTAACGTTTTATACTTGCTTCTGTATTATGCTAAGCTAACGTTTTATACTTGCTTCTGTATTATGCTAAGCTAACGTTTTCTACTTGCTTCTTTATCATGCTAAGCTAACGTTTTATACTTGCTTCTTTATCATGCTAAGCTAACGTTTTCTACTTGCTTCTTTATCATGCTAAGCTAACGTTTTATACTTGCTTCTTTATTATGCTAAGCTAACGTTTTATACTTGCTTCTTTATCATGCTAAGCTAACGTTTTATACTTGCTTCTGTATTATGCTAAGCTAACGTTTTATACTTGCTTCTGTTATTATGCTAAGCTAACGTTTTATACTTGCTTCTGTATTATGCTAAGCTAACGTTTTATACTTGCTTCTTTATAATGCTAAGCTAACGTTTTATACTTGCTTCTTTATCATGCTAAGCTAACGTTTTATACTTGCTTCTTTATCATGCTAAGCTAACGTTTTATACTTGCTTCTTTATCATGCTAAGCTAACGTTTTATACTTGCTTCTTTATCATGCTAAGCTAACGTTTTATACTTGCTTCTTTATTATGCTAAGCTAACGTGTTCTACTTGCTTCTGTATTATGCTAAGCTAACGTTTTATACTTGCTTCTTTATCATGCTAAGCTAACGTTTTCTACTTGCTTCTTTATTATGCTAAGCTAACGTTTTATACTTGCTTCTTTATCATGCTAAGCTAACGTTTTATACTTGCTTCTGTATTATGCTAAGCTAACGTTTTCTACTTGCTTCTTTATCATGCTAAGCTAACGTTTTATACTTGCTTCTTTATCATGCTAAGCTAACGTTTTCTACTTGCTTCTTTATCATGCTAAGCTAACGTTTTATACTTGCTTCTTTATTATGCTAAGCTAACGTTTTATACTTGCTTCTTTATCATGCTAAGCTAACGTTTTATACTTGCTTCTGTATTATGCTAAGCTAACGTTTTATACTTGCTTCTGTATTATGCTAAGCTAACGTTTTATACTTGCTTCTGTATTATGCTAAGCTAACGTTTTATACTTGCTTCTTTATCATGCTAAGCTAACGTTTTATACTTGCTTCTTTATCATGCTAAGCTAACGTTTTATACTTGCTTCTTTATCATGCTAAGCTAACGTTTTCTACTTGCTTCTTTATTATGCTAAGCTAACGTTTTCTACTTGCTTCTTTATCATGCTAAGCTAACGTTTTATACTTGCTTCTTTATCATGCTAAGCTAACGTTTTATACTTGCTTCTGTATTATGCTAAGCTAACGTTTTCTACTTGCTTCTTTATCATGCTAAGCTAACGTTTTATACTTGCTTCTTTATCATGCTAAGCTAACGTTTTCTACTTGCTTCTTTATTATGCTAAGCTAACGTTTTCTACTTGCTTCTTTATCATGCTAAGCTAACGTTTTATACTTGCTTCTTTATCATGCTAAGCTAACGTTTTCTACTTGCTTCTTTATCATGCTAAGCTAACGTTTTATACTTGCTTCTGTATTATGCTAAGCTAACGTTTTATACTTGCTTCTGTATTATGCTAAGCTAACGTTTTCTACTTGCTTCTTTATCATGCTAAGCTAACGTTTTCTACTTGCTTCTTTATCATGCTAAGCTAACGTTTTATACTTGCTTCTTTATTATGCTAAGCTAACGTTTTCTACTTGCTTCTTTATCATGCTAAGCTAACGTTTTATACTTGCTTCTTTATCATGCTAAGCTAACGTTTTATACTTGCTTCTGTATTATGCTAAGCTAACGTTTTATACTTGCTTCTTTATCATGCTAAGCTAACGTTTTATACTTGCTTCTGTATTATGCTAAGCTAACGTTTTATACTTGCTTCTGTATTATGCTAAGCTAACGTTTTATACTTGCTTCTTTATCATGCTAAGCTAACGTTTTATACTTGCTTCTTTATTATGCTAAGCTAACGTTTTCTACTTGCTTCTTTATCATGCTAAGCTAACGTTTTATACTTGCTTCTTTATATGCTAAGCTAACGTTTTATATACTTGCTTCTGTATTATGCTAAGCTAACGTTTTCTACTTGCTTCTTTATCATGCTAAGCTAACGTTTTATACTTGCTTCTGTATTATGCTAAGCTAACGTTTTATACTTGCTTCTTTATCATGCTAAGCTAACGTTTTATACTTGCTTCTTTATTATGCTAAGCTAACGTTTTCTACTTGCTTCTTTATTATGCTAAGCTAACGTTTTCTACTTGCTTCTTTATCATGCTAAGCTAACGTTTTATACTTGCTTCTTTATTATGCTAAGCTAACGTTTTCTACTTGCTTCTTTATCATGCTAAGCTAACGTTTTATACTTGCTTCTTTATTATGCTAAGCTAACGTTTTATACTTGCTTCTTTATTATGCTAAGCTAACGTTTTCTACTTGCTTCTTTATTATGCTAAGCTAACGTTTTCTACTTGCTTCTTTATCATGCTAAGCTAACGTTTTATACTTGCTTCTTTATTATGCTAAGCTAACGTTTTCTACTTGCTTCTTTATCATGCTAAGCTAACGTTTTATACTTGCTTCTTTATCATGCTAAGCTAACGTTTTATACTTGCTTCTTTATCATGCTAAGCTAACGTTTTATACTTGCTTCTTTATCATGCTAAGCTAACGTTTTATACTTGCTTCTTTATTATGCTAAGCTAACGTTTTATACTTGCTTCTTTATCATGCTAAGCTAACGTTTTATACTTGCTTCTTTATTATGCTAAGCTAACGTTTTCTACTTGCTTCTTTATCATGCTAAGCTAACGTTTTATACTTGCTTCTTTATCATGCTAAGCTAACGTTTTCTACTTGCTTCTTTATTATGCTAAGCTAACGTTTTATACTTGCTTCTTTATTATGCTAAGCTAACGTTTTATACTTGCTTCTTTATCATGCTAAGCTAACGTTTTATACTTGCTTCTTTATTATGCTAAGCTAACGTTTTATACTTGCTTCTTTATTATGCTAAGCTAACGTTTTATACTTGCTTCTTTATCATGCTAAGCTAACGTTTTATACTTGCTTCTTTATTATGCTAAGCTAACGTTTTATACTTGCTTCTTTATCATGCTAAGCTAACGTTTTATACTTGCTTCTTTATTATGCTAAGCTAACGTTTTATACTTGCTTCTTTATCATGCTAAGCTAACGTTTTATACTTGCTTCTTTATCATGCTAAGCTAACGTTTTCTACTTGCTTCTTTATTATGCTAAGCTAACGTTTTATACTTGCTTCTTTATTATGCTAAGCTAACGTTTTATACTTGCTTCTTTATCATGCTAAGCTAACGTTTTATACTTGCTTCTTTATTATGCTAAGCTAACGTTTTCTACTTGCTTCTTTATCATGCTAAGCTAACGTTTTATACTTGCTTCTTTATTATGCTAAGCTAACGTTTTCTACTTGCTTCTTTATCATGCTAAGCTAACGTTTTCTACTTGCTTCTTTATCATGCTAAGCTAACGTTTTCTACTTGCTTCTTTATCATGCTAAGCTAACGTTTTCTACTTGCTTCTTTATCATGCTAAGCTAACGTTTTATACTTGCTTCTGTATTATGCTAAGCTAACGTTTTCTACTTGCTTCTTTATCATGCTAAGCTAACGTTTTCTACTTGCTTCTTTATCATGCTAAGCTAACGTTTTCTACTTGCTTCTTTATTATGCTAAGCTAACGTTTTCTACTTGCTTCTGTATTATGCTAAGCTAACGTTTTATACTTGCTTCTTTATTATACCAAAGTTTGGGATTTTATTTTGTTATTATGTGTTCATTTATCTTGTGCTGCGTGCTCCTCATTCTTTATTTTCTGTAACTGATGATGCAACACTGACATTTCCTCGCTGTGGGACCGATAAAGGAAGTTAATCAGGTATCACTTGGGAAGAGACAGTGTTAATGGATCCACAGGAGAATGTTGTGACTTTAGCTGATGATTCCGAATCCCAGACGTCTGTGTTTTGCAGATGGCGACACGGATCCAGTTTGGTAAAAATGTTAAGGGAGGAATGTTGTGTTGTTTTAAAAGTACAAAAGATATACAAAGATTACATGAGAGAAAAGAGTAATTAACGAGCTCACGGGACGCGTTTCAGAAAACAGTTTAATATTGTTTTATTATCACCTTTCCTGCGATCGTGAAAGAAGCTCTGAACACACACGAAGGGAAGCCACAGTCGGAGATCATTCAAGAAAAAGAA